TCTGATCTTTCTCATTCCTAGTAGAATACTAGAATTGTCTTCTTTTCCTAAACTTTTGTGAGGCCTAAATTGTTGGTAGTGAGCTCAGATAAAGGATGCAAATTTAGAATAGAGGGTTCTTTATGGGGGAGCAAGCAGAAAAGATGAGGATCATCTTTCTGAAGTATGATGATAGCCCCATATACGTAGTGCTCTCCAGGCTTCCCTAATGAGAATGGAGTGGTTATTAGCCTGATTAAAGTTTGTTCATTCAGACCTGGCGTACAAATAAATTTGCTGTTGCATGTCTGGTTCAATAGGTTATGTACAAGTTGATGTGCAAGTAGCATGGCTTATTCTTTTGGTACGAGTATATTCTTATTGTATTTAGAGAAGACCAACTGGTTGGTATTGGTATAGTACAATACCATATCAATATTAATAAGACCTGAATAACTTTCTACAAAAAAAACACTGCAATATACTAAATACTTTTATAGCATATATTTTTCAATACTGTAACCATCTTCACTTTGATATTTATTCACTAAATACACTGCAATCTTTTCAACACCAAACTCTTGGTCTTGCTTGGCATTTGTAGTGAATCACTACTACATTAAGTGTGTTTGCAATAAAGAGTAAGACTGGGCTTTAGTTTAAGATTTTTTTAAATTTGTTATAAAGGCGGACCTGTTTTTATCATTTTCTTGTGAGTACTTGCTCTATCCCTGCTACAATTTGATTCTTTATTGGTCCAACAAAGTTGTAAATGAAAATGAAATCTACTATCCTTTCAAGGCATTATTAGTTTATCAGTGAGTTCAAAACAAAGTTCTTATACAAATCTTTTTAGTTTGTTATCTAAACTAGGAGAGTACTCAATAAGTTAACTAAATAGACTAAAACAAAGTTACTAAACATATTTTTTCAGTTTTGTTAACTAAAGTTCTTTGGTTAATATTAAAATGTGTAGAAAATATGAAAGTAATAACATTAAACTGAACAAAGTTCTTTGGTTAAAGTATTCCCCCCGATTTCTTCCAAGTGTTTGCATATGTTATTTAAGCATGTATGATAAATATTTTGTTGGGATCTAATAATTATCAGGAATTGAGAGATGGATAGGTCTTGGATAAAGGATGGAAACAGGTTGTCTGAAGAATACAGAAATGGAGTTGATGAGTTCTTACAATTTTCTATGCTCAACTCAGAAAATCGTAGATCAATTAGGTGTCCGTGTAGAAATTGTTGTAACATGGAATTTCATAAGCCTGAACAAATAAAAGTACATTTGTTAAAAGTTGGTTTCTTGGAAACGTACCTTGTTTGGACTAGGCATGGAGAGACTGCAAAAACTCCAACCTTTAATCCCTCTCAATCAAATTTTCATGATCAAAATGAAATTGGTGACATGTTAGGCGATGTTTATGAAGAACTAGATGGTAACCCAAAGAGGTTTAAGGATGTAGTTGAAGATGCTGAGAAACCATTATACTCAGGTTCAAGTTATACAAGGCTTTCAGGATTATTGTTGTTGTATAATGTAAAAGGAAAATATGGATGGTCTGATCAAGGGTTCTCAGCTTTATTAGAAGCTCTATCGAGTCTACTACCCACCGATAACACCATTCCCAAGTCAATGTATGAAGCTAAAAAAATAATGAAGGTGTTAGGTTTGGACTACCAAAAGATACATGCTTGTCGCAATGATTGCATCCTCTTTCATAAGCAACACAGTGATCTTGAAAAATGCCCTACGTGCGGAGAGTCTAGGTGGAAAGAGACAAAGAATGGATCCATAACAGCTACTAGTAGAATTCCCGAGAAAGTATTGTGGTACTTTCCTCCAATTCCTAGGTTCAAACGTATGTTCCAGTCTACTAAAACCGCTGAAGACATGACATGGCATGCAGACCATCGCATTAAAGATGGTAAATTGCGTCATCCTGCTGATGCTCAAGCTTGGCATCACATTGATAAAATGTGGCCTGATTTTAGTCAAGATCCTAGGAATCTGAGGTTAGCTCTTTCAAGTGATGGAGTAAATCCACACAGTTCACTTAGTTCTTCGTATAGTTGTTGGCCTGTTCAGTTAGTCATCTATAATCTCCCCCCTTGGTTGACCATGAAAAGAAAATTCATGATGTTATCTCTTTTAATTTCTGGTCCTAAACTTCCTGGGAATGATATAGATGTCTATTTAGAACCCCTGATTGATGACCTTAAAACCTTGTGGAATGATGGTGTAGATGTTTTCGATAGTTTTAGAAAGGAGACCTTCAGGTTAAGAGCTATATTGATGTGGACCATAAGTGACTTCCCAGCTTATGGTAATCTGTCTGGTAGCACCGTGAAGGGGTATTTTGGATGTCCTGTTTGTGGGTCGGGCACTCGTTCAATATGGCTGAAATGTAGTAAGAAATGTGTCTATATGAGCCATCGTCGCTTTTTACCGAAAAACCACAGGTTTAGAGATTTAAAGAAAGTCTTCAATAATCAAGTTGAGAGAGAGGGACCTCCAGCAATCCTCTCCGGTGAAGATGTTCTTAAGTTGGTTGAAGGAATAAATTACAAAAGCGGGAAGCGCAAGGACCGCAAAAGAAAGGGAAAGCGTGATCACAACGATGGAGACAATAGATTGTTCAAGCGCAAATCAATTTTTTTTGATCTAGAGTATTGGAAGCATTTATTGGTTCGTCATCTATTAGATGTGATGCACATAGAGAAGAATGTGTGTGAGAGCATCTATGGAACGCTTCTTGATCAACCGAGCAAAACAAAAGATGGACCTAGAGCTCGAGATGACCTTGCTCATTTGAACATTAGGAAAAACTTAATTCCTAAAGAGAATTCCAAATCATTGCCTCCAGCACCCTACACCCTGAGCAAAAAAGACAAACAAAAATTTTGTGAAACCATACTGCAAATAAAAGTGCCTGATGGTTATTCATCAAACCTGAAAAGCATAGTTTCTGATGATGACAGTCACCTTCAAGGTCTTAAATCTCATGATTGTCATACCTTGATGCAACAAATACTTCCCTTGGCCATTCGGAACATGTCAGTGGCAGAAAATGTTACCAATGCGATAACTAGTATGTGCTTATTCTTCAACAGACTATGTGAGAAGGTCCTAGATCCTGATTCACTTGATGATTTAGAGTCCAGTCACCACATCACCATGTGCTGTCTTGAGCAATATTTTTTGCCATCATTTTTTGATATAATGGTTCATTTGACAGTCCATCTTGTTGCTCAAGTGCGTCTTTGTGGCCCAGTTTTTCTCTGTTGGATGTACCCTTTTGAGATAAGCATGAAATTCTTAAAAGGGTTCGTCCGCAATCATTACCATCCTGAGGGATGCATTGCAGAATGTTATGTGGTAGAGGAAGCTCTTGAATTTTGTGCCGAGTATATTTCCAACCATGAATCAATTGGGTTGCCTACACATTCTGATAAAGATGACCCAATTGAAAGGCCTCTAGGACGTGGGGACACTAAAATAGTTGATTGCTCATTGCTTGAGCAAGCACATCGTACTGTTCTATTTAATACGCCCGAAGTTCAGCCGTACATAAAGTAAGCACTCCATTGTTTATTTCGGTTTTGTCTATTTTGTGTATATTATATAATCTAACTCTCTTTGTTAAAAAAAATAGGGAGCATATGTTCGAGCTGCAATCATTTTATGATGATGGTTGTATTGAAATAGAGCATTATCGAACATTTGTTAAGTGGTTTGAAGAGAAGGTTACTCGTTATTAACTTATGGTTACTGATCATATTTAAAATGTTACATAAATATACTGAATATTTAGCATATAATTTGTAGGTTCTTAATGATGTTGCAAATGGAATTGATGTGGACAAAACTGTCAGATGGCTAGCTAAAAAACCAAACACAACAGTGACAACTTACTCTGGGTACAGTATAAATGGATTTAGGTTTGCTACAAAGGAGCGGGATTTAAGCCGTGTTACACAAAATAGTGGGGTTAGTCTTGTAGCGGACTTGAATTACTACGGCGTTCTAACTGAAATTTGGGTCCTTCACTATCTGATGACTAAGAGCGTGGTTTTCAAGTGTGACTGGGTAGATAATAGGCATGTAGAAGAAGATAAGTTGGGCTTCACAATACTTGATCTAAATAAGATAGGTCATAAAAAAGATTGTTTCATTTTAGCCGCGCATGCCAAACAAGTTTTTTATGTGAAAGATCAACTTCATCCAAGAAAATCAGTGGTTTGTTCAGTTGGTCAGAAGGTTAGTCACGTTGCAGACGCTGGATGTGATGAAATGGTTATACATGATCCCCTAACTTCACATTACCCAACACAAATTCTTTATTTGGAAACCCCAGATGATGATGGAATTTATGATAGAGTACTTTGTGATGCGAATTAATAATCCAATTAGTCAAAATTGGAATGAATTCATTGCTACGTTTCAGTAAGTATTACTTTTACATAACTTTCTGGTTTATTTTACTTCAATTGTGTATTATTTGTAATTTGTAATTCAATTCAAAGGAAAATAAGTTTATTTGTATGTATAATCTTGTTATTATGTAGGATACAGTTTGATATGAAGAATCAAAATGAAGACATGGACGATGTTGATAGGGATGAACTGGATGGGAGGCCACGTAGGCGAGAAAAGACAAAGAAGAAGATGATGTTGAAGAAAAGTGGTGATCATAAAGTGATTGTGGAAGTTAATGAGCTTGGTGTTTTAGCAGGTAAGGGCTGGACGGAACTGTCTAATTACCTTGGGGTTATAGTCAGGGACCATGTGCCCATAGTGTACCATGACTGGAGAAGAGTCCCGCTTAAGTTGAAAAATGATATGTTGACGCATATTCAGGTAAGAAACTATATGCATGTGAGCTACTATTAACTTTGTCAATTACTTTTTTAGTCTTTAAGTGTTGAGTTCTTTCAGTTTATTTGTAGTCTTTAAGTTTTTTATTATTCATTCAATAATATAATGTTCTTTTGGATGTAGGATCTGTTTGTGTTGCCTACTAATTCAGAGAAACATATACTCCAAACAATGGGAGCTGGACATAAAAATTTTAGGTGCACTTTGTACACTGAATTCATTGCACAACACATGGATGAGCCCGAGAAGTTAAGCTTACCTCCAAAAGAATATAAGCACATTGGTACTGATGAATGGAGAATATTTGTGAAGAGGTGCTTTACAGAAGAATTCCAGGTGATAGAACTTACTAATGCATTTAATATAAGTAGAAACATTTGTGAATATATGTAATAATTTTGTTAAATGCTTTTAGGAAAAAAGCAAAAAAGCATGTGAAAATCGAAAGAAGAATATATATAATCACCGATTAGGTTCAACAGGTTATGGAGGGTTACTTTTAAAGAAGGTTTGTTCTAATCTTCATTTATTAAAATTATTCGATTGTGTATATGAGTATTTAGATGATATACCTTTTCTGTTTTCAAAACTCAAAGAAAGAACAACTTGGAAGTACTGTCAACGACATTGATCGAGCGGATACATGGCTCTTGGGAAGAGAAAGAAAAGATGGTGGATATGATCCTGAGGTTTTGGAAGTTGCAGAAGAAATAGTAAGGGTTGTAATAATTTTATGAATATGAACATGCATCTTTTAGTAAAAATTTTCCCAGTGTACTGAGGTCAATTAATTGACTCGTTTTATGCTCTTTTTAGAATAAAAAAATGTTGTTTGACACAACTTGGTAATGCTCTAGTAATGCTCTGATGTAACATGTTTGTTTGTGTAGAAGGAGCTCAAAAATAAGGTGAAGGAAGGGTCATTTGTGCCTCGTGGAGACGATGATGTGCTCTCAGTTGCTCTTCAGAAAAAACCAAATGGCAGTAGAGTACAGGGGTTGGGGCACTTCATTACCCCAACACGATACTTTTACACGCCAAAGGCAACCAAAACCGAGAAGGACAAAGCACAAGACGTATGTGATAGAAGGTATGAAATGATGTTGCAGAAGTTTAGTGAAATGAAAGATCATGTGTCCAATGCTTTTAGTGAAATTGGTAGTTGCAGCAATGCCAATAAATCTCAGAAAAGAAAGGTACACACATAACTTCTGCTGGATAATTTTGCACCTTATTTACGCTTTTATGTTTAATACGTATTTGTCATTTTAAGGCTGGTGATGACGTTGAGCAGTCGATACTTAGTCCTTTGAAGGAACGCTGCAGTGCTCCTAGAAAATCTCCCAGGTTGAAGTTGAAACATGCTGAAATGGAGGGTAATAATGAACAACCCGAGGGTGAGAGTCATGGAATGCAGAAGGTATGTACAACTACATCTCTAAGTGAATGTTTAATGAGATATAGTTATTAATAAATAGTTAACTTCTATGATATAGACTGTTGGAGAGGTGGAGAAACCAGTATTTACTCATCGGAAGAAGCTATTTGGAAGCGTTCCCAGAAATTCCCCTCAGCACATAAACACGGATACTTTAGGACAAGCCAATGCTCACTCCCATGATATGGTTAGACTTCTAGTTGCATATGTTTATTTGATTAAATACGATAGTAATGTTTGTAAATTACATGCACACTTTATGCTACATACAGGATATGAATGAAGAGGAAGATCAGTCAATAGCAAATATGGAGAATGACCGAGTGGAGGGAAAACAAAAACAGGGGTGCGAGGTGGTATTTGTGAAAGAGATAAGGACTGGAATGAAAGCTAAGTCCCAGCTAAATGTGCAAAGAATGACCAGGTCCGTTGCTGAAAAAAGAAAGGAACAAAGCGCTAACATGATGATGTTTTGCATTTTAGTGGATAATTGTTTAGGAGAGATGAACAGCATCAAGCAAGATGCTGAAAATTTTGGATTCCAAACAAAAACTATGTTTAACAAGGAGGTTTGCCGCTCTGTTATCAACTTTCAGCAGGTTTCAAATTCAGTTGTTGAAATTTGGGCGAGGTAATAAGTTCCCATTTATTATATATTACATTCAATTGCATTAAAATCATTATTGTATTACAGTATAAAGTGGTAAGAGTATCTTATTATAAACATCAAAATGAATGAACTTAATTCAACTTGATTAGTAATAATTTAATAGGTACTTGCATGAGAAAATGGAGGCTGATGGAGGGGACATGCCAGTCCAGTTTGGTACTTCTGCTGCCATAGCAATACCAAAGAGGGCATCACACCAAGCGGTTACTAGGAGGTCACAATACATAGCTGATCTTTTGGATATTTCCTTGCTTGGACAAATGACTTTAATCCCCTATAATACCGGGTAAGTAATCTCTTTTGCAAGTGACTTGTATTTGCAAACAATGGTGCTTTTGTAATTACATATAGTTTCATTGTTATGTAGAAATCATTGGGTGTTGGTCGCCATCGACATGGCGGCTGAAACGATTTACTACCTAGATTCCTTGGGAGGAATTCCATCGAAGGATTTGGAGGAAATCATGAATCAGTTAAGTTACATAGGCCCTTTAAATGATGAGAAAATATTGGATCGGTTGAATTTTAATAATGACTGTGTTTCCTTTTCAGAGGGGTGACGATTAATCATGCCCAAAAATCCAAGAAAAGGTTGAATTTAAAATGGGTGAGAGTGATGGTATGTATCCCTTGATGTTTATTATCACTTTTAGTATAAATTAGCGGCTGTGATTTGTACATGAGATCCTTTTGACTAAAGATCAGAAATCTGAACTGGTGTTTTGTACTACGGAAAGGCAGTTCACTAAAATTAATGGGTCTTTGTTATGAACCATGGTTGTTCAGTTATTTTCTGAATTTAGATACTCATCTCTTGTAAGTTGCAACCGTGAAACTTCGCTGAATCTCAACTGTGCAGTCTGTGCTACCAATTAGATGTGACACCTGTTAATTTTATTTAATCTGAATGTGTTTAGGAGCTGTTTTTACCATAATTGGAACTGCATTTTTGAAATATGGAAAGACAGATCATCCCTTTTGCAAGTGAGTTAAAGAAGTGAATTATTGCAATCCATTCAATACTTGACTGTATTATTTTTTTACTATAACTTGTTCTTTGTTTTTAGTAAATCTTAGTTTGTATTTAATGTCTATTTAAATTGAATATATGCAGTGCCCAAAGAAGTGAATTATTGCAATACATTCAATACTTGACTGTATTATTTTTTTACTATAACTTGTTCTTTGTTTTTAGTAAATCTTAGTTTATATTTACTGTCTATTTAAATTGAATATATGCAGTGCCCTAAGCAAACAGGAGGAGTTGAGTGTGGTTACTTTGTGATGAAGTACATGAAGGATATTGTATCTGACGTGAATCGTTTGAAACAGAATGTGAGCGCAATTAATTAATTAGTGTATCTTGTAATGATAGTAAGTGCTTATTAATTTAATTTTACATTGAAGTTCTCTACCGTCAAGGAGTATACCGAAGATGATATTTTACAAGTGCGTGAGGAGTGGGCTTTGTATGCTGCTACTTTGATAAAAAAGTAAGTTCACATTTAAAATTTACCGAAAATAAGTTTCATAATATATGGATGTAATATTATATTTTGTTTGATATGTAGTGCGCAAGCGGATCCTACAAAGGCTTGATGATATGCACGGGGAGATGCATTTCTGATTATTGTTGATGGCGGTTAGAATGGTCGGTGTTATGTTATGTTTGTAGAATGTAGAGGCAGGTCAAACTTTTGATAACTAAACATTGGTACCTGTTGGGAATGTGACTTGTTTGTATTTTAGCATCTTCAATGATGCTTGGTAGTAGTTTTTTTGCTGAATTTCAATAGCCGGTTTTTTGCGGGAATATTGCATGCTGGAATTTTTCTAGATCTTTTATCCGGCAGTAGGAAATGTAATTGAATAAGAATGTGAAATTGTTACTTAATATTATATGTTAAATGATGTGTTTTGGGTATCCATTAATTTTTGGATGTTATAATATTTATGAATGAAGTAAGCAATAAATTTGAATTCTACTAAAGCTACCATGGGCATATTATCTAGGCCTATATAGGCCCAATTAACAAAACCAACCAAGTGACATTGAAGTGTCATAAAAATCTATGATGCTGAAAGTATCATAAAAATGTATGATACTGAAAGTGTCATAAAAATCTATGATGCTGAAAGTGTCATAAAAATCTATGATGTATTAATGTCACAATGTATTCTTGATGCATAAATGTCGCTATTTTAGCCGATAAATTAGTGTCACTATTTGCTGACACAAACCCGTCCCCGCATCAGTGACACTAAATATAGTGTCGCTAGCCGCCACTTTCCCCGACGCTTTTTTAGTGTCGCTGAAAGTTTCTGCGACACTAAATTAGTGTCACTATAGGCGCTTTTTCTACTAGTGCATAAAGTTTCATCAATCAAAGCCTCGGTAGAGGTAGTATTACCACTAACTTTAGAGGAAGTAGCATTAGTATCTAATGTTTCATCATTTAGAACACCAACCTTGTCCGAAGGCAAAGTATCCTTAATGAAAGCAATCACGGTTTCATCAACCAAATACTCATCCGAAATGGTATCCTCACAAACATTATTGTCCACACTTTGTTCATCACCAACATCCTCAATAATAGGGGCATCAATATGAAGAGGGAAAGAATTTACCTCCCCATGAAGGGGGTCAGCCGAGGACAAAGGAGAACCAATGATAGGAGTTCCTTCACTTTGGGTAGATTCCGAGACCTCTTCATCCACCTCCTTAGCGTGAGCCTTATCCTTGAGCCGAGTGGAAGATTTGGTTGGAGCCTTAGGAGTCTTCTTCTTCGCTTTTCCCCTCCATTTAGACATCGGAACACAAGGGATAGCTAAGGAGGAGCATCCCCTCAAGACATGAAGCTCCGGATAGAAAAAAAAGAAGGAAAGCGCACTATTCACCCAAAATAGCGACGAAGAAGATGAGTACGGACGAAAATAGAAACAGGTCCGAAGATGAATTTTCTTGGAGAAAGTTAATGACCAGAGCTAGGAGAAGAAAGAACTGAAGTTGGATTGCAAAAACACCCAAGGAATCAGGCTGTAGAGGCGTTGACCTTCTTCGGTGAATAGTAACACCGAAGAGCTAAGAACGCGATACAAAGCCAAAAACCTCCAAACCGAGCTCGGAAACTGGGTAATGAACACCTCAAACAACGTAGAAGTGTAAATAAACCAATAACCAAGCTCAAAGATGAAGAATCGAAGGAAGAAGTTAAGAAAGCGGTGAAGAAACGAGCTGGAAATCCGAGTAGCGAAATTTCGCTAGAGAGAGACTCTCTCAACGGATTTCAGGCTCCGGTTTTCATCTTCAGGCGCTGGTTTTAAAATATCAAGGGATGATTGCCTAAATACTAAAATACACTGTATTTACGCTAAAAGTGCTCTATTTTCGCTGAAAACGCTGAATCATAGAGATAAGGCTAAGTATTTGTGACACTCATATCTTGCTGTGTGTTTATCCGTTGGGAGCGTATTATATCTCGTTGGAAAGATATATCGGAGCTCTAAAGCTATTGTTCCAACTTCATTTACAATGCATTAATTAAAAGTTACAGATTAACCATATATTCCCAAATGTTTCTGATTTCACTTCGAACTCGTGTAGAATGTGATGCGATCATATCTTGCTCTATTTTGTGCCGTTGAAAGCGTTTAATATCTCGTTGGAAAGATCTTTCCGAGTTCTAAAACTTGTATTTAGTCTCTGGTTTCAGAATATCAATGGATAATTGCCTAATTACTAAAATACACTGTATTTACGCTAAAAGTGCTCTATTTTCGCTGAAAACGCTAAATCATAGAGATAAGGCTAAGTATTTGTGACACTCATATCTTGCTGTGTGTTTATCCGTTTGGAGAGTATTATATCTCGTTGGAAAGATAGATCGGAGCTCTAAAGCTATTGTTCCAACTTCATTTACAATGCATTAATTAAAAGTTACATATTAACCATATATTCACAAATGTTTCTGATTTTACTCCGAACTCGTGTAGAATTTGATGCGATCATATCTTGCTCTATTTTGAGCCGTTGAAAGCGTTTTATATCTCGTTGGAAACATCTTTCCGAGTTCTAAAACTTGTCTTCAGGCGCTGGTTTCAAAATATCAATGGATGATTGCCAAATTACTAAAATACACTGTATTTACGCTAAAAGTGCTCTATTTTCGCTGAAAACGCTAAATCATAGAGATAAGGCCAAGTATTTGTGACACTCATATCTTGCTGTGTGTTTATCCGTTTGGAGCGTATTATATCTCGTTGGAAAGATAGATCGGAGCTCTAAAGCTATTGTTTCAACTTAATTTACAATTCATTAATTAAAAGTTACAGATTAACCATATATTCACAAATGTTTCTGATTTCACTCCGAACTCGTGTAGAATTTGATTCGATCATATCTTGCTCTATTTTGTGCCGTTGAAAGCGTTTAATATCTCGTTGGAAAGATCTTGCCGAGTTCTAAAAATTGTATTCAGGTTCTGGTTACAAAATATCGAGGGATGATTGCCGAATTACTAAAATACACTGTATTTACGCTAAAAGTACTCTATTTTCGCTGAAAACGCAAAATCTTAGAGATAAGGCTAAGTATTTGTGACACTCATATCTTGCTGTGTGTTTATCCGTTTCGAGCGTATTATATCTCGTTGGAAAGATATATCGGAGCTATAAAGCTATTGTTCCAACTTAATTTACAATGCATTAATTACAAGTTACAGATTAACCATATATTCACAAATGTTTCTGATTTCACTCCGAACTCGTGTAGAATTTGATGCGATCATATCTTGCTCTATTTTGTGCCGTTGAAAGCGTTTAATATCTCATTTGAAAGATCTTACCGATTTATAAAACTTGTCGTCAGGCGCTGGTTTCAAAATATCTAGGGATGATTGCCTAATTACTAAAATACACTGTATTTACGCTAAAAGTGCTCTATTTTCGCTGAAAACGCTGAATCATAGAGATAAGGCTAAGTATTTGTGACACTCATATCTTGCTGTGTGTTTCTCCGTTGGAAGCGTATTATATCTCGTTGGAAAGATAGATCGGAGCTCTAAAGCTATTGTTCCAACTTCATTTACAATTCATTAATTAAAAGTTACAGATTAACCATATATTCCCAAATGTTTCTAATTTCACTTC